CATCCAGCTAGCACTCGCACACACACAGATGGAAGAGGAGAGAGGTATGCTCCACCTCTTCCCACCCCTCTCCTTTTTGTCTGCCACGCCCCAGCCAGTGCTTGCTTGAGGAAGGTGATGTGTGGGCGGGAGATTTGAAGATCCATCCGGCTGGTGCCGCTGTCTGAGCCTGCAGAGAGAAGCCTGGAGTGATCTCTGCACTACCAGAGCTTTCCTCATCTCCCTCCGCCTCCCTGTTCTTTCAGGAGCTTCACACACGTAACCATTTTATGTCCAGTTGTCCACTCTGATGTGTAAGGGGGCATGCCGCTGAACTCTGATGTAAGGGGGCATGCCGCTGAACTCTGATGTAAGGGGGCATGCCGCTGAACTCTGATGTAAGGGGGCATGCCGCTGAACTCTGATGTAAGGGGGCACTCCTCCACATTCTGATGAAAGGGGGCATTCACCCATCTGCTCGGTGTGCAAGGGTAACTTGAAGGAAGCAAGTGTTTTTTTCTCATTGGGGCCGACGCCTCATTTACTCATTCAGCAGATGTGCCTCTGTTAAGCGTTTAGACACTCCCTTTCCTGAAGAGCACCCAATCGGTGCTTGTCATACCGCAAGGCCTCTCCCCTCCCTGCTAATCCCTCGGTGTGGTGCTGGAGACAGGCAGGGAGGTGAGGAGATAAACAGCGCAAGGTTAAAAATATTAAAAGTTTAAGTAACCATAAAGCCCCATTCATTTATAAAAGCCCAGATATTCCTAAAAGCACCTCTGCCTAATAAAAAAACAAACCCTTTGTATTTTCCATCCTGGCACAGCCAATTTAAGGTTTAAAAGGGACATACATTTATTGAAAATCCCTAGTGATAAAACTGTCTTATTCAGTAGTATATGACAAGACCTTATTTGAATACGGTTCTGGTTAATGTTTTTTTTTAATCAGGACAAGTAAATTGTCATGAAGGGACAAGTACGTAGATTGGGACCCCGATTTAGTCCAAGTATTTTTTTTTTTTAAATTCCATACCCCTGTATATTATTTTTTTCTATTTGCAATACTTTTTTCACAAAAGCACACTTATCCTTTAAAGTTTACTTTAGGTGTGGCAATTTTTACATAGTTACATTGATCGAGCAGGACTGATGTAAGCATGTGCCATATCCCTGGAAGCTGAAGATCACTGTAGTAGGCACCGCTACTACAGTGATTGCCGCAAGCTTCCTAATCCCTATTGCTTACTGAACACAAGAGTTTGTTTGCTCTCTGCATTCTCTGATTAGACAAGGTGGAGAATGTGATGCCCCTGCCTCTGCACCTTGTCCAATCATAGAAAACTTTGCCATGCAGACCAAGTGACCTCTTGTGTTCACAATGCAGCAAGACAGACCATCGGCACAGGACACAGACGCTAGTGGAGATCTTCAGAATAGTAGTGTCTACTACAGTGAATTCCAGCTTCTAAAGAGATATTACAGGTATGGTATATACATAATTACATTGGTTCAAGCTGGACTATGTATGTAAAAACTGCCATACCTAAATGTCAGCTTTAAGCCCAGGTTTCCACTTTAAACAGATTATGTAATTAGTGTATGTGCAGTACTCTCTGCATGCACAGAACACTGAGTGTGCCATGCTGCCGTGGTGACTCCTGTATGCATGCACAGAGTGGCATCATTGCAGCCTGGGCATTGAAACGACCAGAGTGTGCAAAGCTGAAAGGAAGGCTGGGTGACGAAGGATGCGCCTGCATCAGTAAAAGCATGCTGCTGGAGGGCTCTGTTTGTAAGGTAAGTCTGCCATAATCTATTAGTATGCGGTGCATAGAAACACACAGATATCTAAAGCGCCACTCAAGACTGGCCTCTTCTACACATGGACAACCTGGGTGCAGGCCATCACAGTCTGTCTCCAATTTTCACTGAAAACAAACAAAAAAAATCAGAATATCAAGGTGATTCAGCGAGTGCTAAGATGATGAGAACATAAGCTGCTGATACACTACAAGGAAACCATATAACCTCTTGAATATATACAATATGAAAAAGTGCAGCGCTAATAAACAAATTAAAATGTGCTATATCAGAGACTGGCCACACCCACAAATAGACAGTATTAATTCCATAGGAACAATGTCCGGTAAATGACAAATGGATGAAATGGTGACTTTGTTATTCCCAGTGAGGCACTCATCAAAACCGTGTAGGAAATATAAGAAATGCGCACTCACCAGATGCGCATTAGGTAAGTGCAATATTAATTGTCAGAGGTCCCCTCTTATCCTGTGGAAGGTGCAGTTCACACTGGACAGGCTGTCCCACAATACTGGCGCCTCGAGAGATCTTCTCTACTGGTGGAAGCTGCGATGGGGGTCAGCTTATGAGTCACTCTCCTCTGAGCCTCAGGGTGGTCACCATATGGTCCTGGGGGGTTAAATGCAGCTGGATAGTTATGGGGGCCACCAGACCTCCTTGATCCGATGACATGACGTATCAGGCGTGTATGGCTCCTCCTTAACACGTTTCGCACACAAAGTGCATCCTCAGAAGGGGTGATGCTAAAGTGCTTTGGCATCACCCCTTCTGAGGATGCACTTTGTGTGTGAAACGTGTTAAGGAGGAGCCATACACGCCTGAGACGTCACGCCAGCGGATCAAGGAGGTCCGGTGGCCCCCATAACTATCCAGCTGTATTTAACCCCCCAGGACCATATGGTGACCACCCTGAGGCCCAGGAGGAGAGTGACTCATATAAGCTGACCCCCATCGCAGCTTCCACCAGTAGAGAAGATCTCTCGAGGAGCCAGTATTGTGGGACAGCCTGTCCAGTGTGAACTGCACCTTCCACAGGATAAGAGGGGACCTCTGGCAATTAATATTGCGCTTACCTAATGCGCATCTGGTGAGTGCGTATTTCTTATATTTCCTACACGGTTTTGATGAGTGCCTCACTGGGAGTAACAAAGTCACAATTTCATCCATTTGTCATTTACCGGACATTGTTCCTATGGACTTCATACTGTCTATTTGTGGGTGTGGCCAGTCTCTGATATAGCACATTTAATTTGTTTATTAGCACTGCACTTTTTCATATTGTAAACAAAAAAATCAGCCACACTCCAATTAGCTCTCAACGCATTTTCATTAATAAAATCCTTGCGAGCAGGCCAGGAGTGGTAAAATGCATCAAGGAAGGCTGGTTTTGGGCTGGAGACATTATTGTATGCAGCCAATGCACTGATTACTATAATTAGTGCAAGAAGAGCTAATTGGCGTATGTGATGCATACTTGTTAGAAATTCTGTATATACCCTACAGAACAGACAGAGCATGATCCCCGTGTACTTTTCTGCTTCACTGCAACAAGGAAACTTATATTCAGAGAAAAGACATATAGTATACCATAGATGCAGCTACAAACTTATAAACACTGCCATCTACTGGTTGAAGAATATATATCTCTACTGAATACTGATGTAGTTGTCGCACAAAGTTCATGAACACTGAGTGTTTGATTTACCAAAACTGGAGAGTACAAAACCTGGTGCAGCTGTGCATAGAAACCAATCAGTTTTTTTTTTTGTCAAAGCTTAATTGAACAAGCTGAAGTTAGAAGCTGATTAGCTACCATGCACAGATTTTGCACTCTCGTTTTAGAAAATCAACCTCTGTACTCCAATAATTCTAGTACATTATGACATTAAAGCAAAGCTCCACTCAAAAGGGGAAGCTCTGCTTGTTTGCACCCTCCTTTACTGCCACATTTGGCACTCTTTTTGGGGGGGGTACTTAGTTTTAGCAGGTACTCACTCCCACTTTGAGCTCAGCGACTGAGCCAGAAGTTCGGCCCCCTCCTTCCTCCGAAGTCTTCTGGGACACTTCACAGGTCCCAGACTACAGAGCCAATCACAAGGCACAACTCACGCATACGCAGTAGGAAACTGACTGCGAAACCATAAGGCTTCACTTCTGGTTTCCCTTACTTGCAATGCCGGCGCCAGGAAACCAGAGGCTAGTGAAGAACTAGCCCAGATGAGGATGGTGCTGGACCCCTGGACAGGTAAGTGTGCTTATATCAAAAGTCAGCAGCTACAGCATTTGCTGCTGCCTTTTAATTTTGGGGGGCAGCCTGGAACTCCTCTTTAACCTGCAGGGGGACATTTCATTTTTTTTTTTTTTTACATTTACTACGCTTTAGGATTTCAATATTGTGCTCACCTTTGCATCCATGCTCCGACTCTTGCTGCTGACTAAAAGCTGACAACACAGACTCTGGTGATACAGCAATCTGGTTCTTCCACACATCTTGTGTATAGAACTCCACAGTGTGTGCCCCGGAGATCCTCGCAGTGATCTCTATGAAGTGAAGCAAGCTTTGCACAGCCTCCTTCACCCGATCTGTGCTCACAGAAGATAAATGGGCAAACATCCTGGAGGACAAAGAAAAGGGTATTAATGAAATGAATGGAGGGCATGTGTCTCCTTTTAATTTCAGTGTGTGTGGTGGGCATATGCTGCTCACATGTCACATATCAGTACATAACATGCACAGTTCTATGTGCTGATTGCTTGTACTGCCCTGACACTGGCGAAAAGGGAAACTTCACCCACTAATCACCTCTTACATAGCAGGCTGGAGGTGTACACATGCCTCTCCTAGACGCAGGAAAGTGACATCACCGAGCCACGTGACTCCAGCCTTTACTTGCTGCAGAAAGATACAGGGAACAAAAGTGAAGAGGAACAGAGAACCCCGGAAGAGACGTATGTGAAGGGAAAGTGTTCGGTAGCCGTCCATTATGGGCAGCACACCTACACAGCACAGTCATTAGACAGCACTGACCCTAACTAGGAATATATGCATGTGTGTGTATTACTGAATCATTACACAATGCTGAGTGTGTGTCACTGAGCTCCACCCTCTTCTCTCCACTACATTCCCAGGTACTGCACTGGCGGAAGCCGCGGCTATGTGATGTTGCGACGTCATCGGACGGCGACTCGAGTAATAGCATGGCTTCCTCCGGTTCAGGGGGCGCGCAGTACAGGAGAGTCGGGCCCTCTGGAGGGAGAGGAAGGGGAACATTTAATAGGGGCTCCTGGAATAGGGGAGGGAGAGGGGCCGCTCAGGCGGGTCAGGGGAAAGCAGAGCCTGGTGTGTCTGTACAGAGGAAGAGCGGACATGGTGTCCAGAGACCGAGGACGGACAAGAGGAGGTGGAAGAGCGTTCAGCAGGTCTTAGCTGGCAGTGCCAAGGAGGGTGAGTGAACTGGTGGGGTCTGACATGGTGTGAGAGATCTGTGGGTGTATCATGGTGTACCAAATAGTCCAACACAGCCCTGGGTGGGGGCAGAACACTCTGCTTTTCCGAATCAAATAGCACCGCAATCAGAATGCAGAAGATGAGTTTCCTTTTTCTTTTTTTCATACAGCTACAGAACAGAGCAGTATGAATGTGCTCATATCTTGCTGTGTTTAGATTCATATACAGTAGGTAAAATAAGTACTGAACATGTCACCATTTTTTTTCAGTAAATATATTTCTAAAGGTGCTATCAGGGATGTTTGATTCATGATGCCTGGGACATGTAGTTCCAGGCGTCGGGCTAGTAGTTTTTTTCTACTTTTAGCCCTGCTGCGAGTCTGATTGCTTCCACGCAGTGCCAGCCCCTTCACTCGTGAGGACTCCTGAGCTCCACTTGGCCATCTGCGGTCCTGGAAGCGGCTCACTGCCATCGGCTAGAGGGGAGGGAGTAGAGCGTAGAGCGACATGAGATGTTTCTTATGTGACACCTTGGTATTGAGACACCTTTTTATAGGCCATCAGTTGAGATTGAACCAGCTGATATTAGTTTGCACTGACAAGAGGCAGGATTGCTTTTTAATTACTGATAGATTTCAGCTGGTGTCTTGGGTTTCCATGCCTTTTTGCACCTCCTTTTCTTCGTGTGTTCAATACTTTTTCCCTGTGTCATTCCATTTTTTTACACATAACTTAATTTCTGAACTTATTTGTTTTGGTTTCTTTGTATGTATGGATTGCATAGGTTGTAACCGACGTGGTGAAAATTTCATGTCAATAGCACCGTTAGAAATATATTTACTGAGAAAAATGGTGACGTGTTCAATACTTATTTTACGTGCTGTAAATGGTTGACCTGAATGCAGCATATCGTACATCTCTTTTTTCCTTAACGCACAAGCAACTTTTTTCTTTAGGGAAAAGAATAAAATTAAAACCAGCAGAAGATAACTCTTACTATATATCACCTCTCCAGTGTGTGACAAGTCCTCACTTCAGTGTTTGCAAGAGCTACAACCTCCAACAGTAGGGATACACCAAAATTTCAGTGGCCAAAACGTTTTGGCCGAAAACACCCCTAATGGGCAATATAAAAAAAAAGCACCGATACAGGTGCCGAAAAAACACACACCGCCGCCACTCGGTAGTTCTTAGCCTTACCTGAGAAACCATCAGAATGATCCCAGCACTGGGCATAGAGATTAGTGAAGGAAAGCTGGCCTCCACTCATCTCTATGCCCTTTGAGGACCGGAGCGATGTCACTTCCGGTTCCGGCCATTTTGAAAAAAGAATATTTTAAAGCACTAGATCAATGATTTTTTTTATCTAATGCTTTACATTGCAGAGGAGAGATGCTGGGTTTTATTGACCCCATATCTCTCCATAAAGAGGACCTGTCACTAATTATTTCTATCACACAAGGGATGCATGCATTCTTTGTGATAAGAATAAAAGTGATTTTTTTTTTTTTTTAAAGAGATAGTGCAAAAAAAAATTAAAGTGTATAGTGCCCCTGTCCCCCCCCCCCCCCCCCCCGTGCTCGCATGTAGAGGTGAACGCATACATAGGCCATGCCCACATATGTAAACGGTGTTCAAGCTAACACGTGAGGCATCGCCACAAACGTCAGAGCAAGAGCAATAATTTTTGTACTAGACCCCATCTGTAAATTTTTACTACTAACCTGTAGGAAATTTTAAAGCGTCACCCATGGAGATTTTTAAGTACCACAGTTTCACGCCATTCCAAGAGCGTGCACAATTTTAAAGCGTGATATGTCAGGTATCTATGTACTCGCTGTAACATCCTCGTTAATATTTTACAAAATAATTGGGGTATATATTGTGTTTTTTGGTTTTTTTTTTTAATCAAAGTGTATTTTTTTTCCAAAAAATATATATTTATTTTTAAAAACTGCGCATTTGTTTCAGTGTCGGTTTTCGGCCAAGTGCATTTTGAATTTTTGGTTTCGGCACCAGAATTTTAATTTCAGTGCACCACTATCCAACAGAATCTACATGTCATAGTCTTGAGGGTGCGATGGATTTCTGCTTCCCAAGCTGTGCTCTGTGGTTCCATCCTAAGACACTGTAGTGATGGGAGGGCCGGCAGGTGCAACCAAAACTTTACATGACTGTTATACAGTATAGTCACACTGTTATTCCCAGGGTTAAAATAGGAATATATCTACAGGAAATGCATATAATTCAACCTTGCAAAATGTAAATGGCACTTCAGGAAAGGTTTTTGCTCATACAGTAAAGCATACCCACAACTGCTATGCTTCCAAAGAAATTTTGTTTAAATGCATTGCCAGTCTTAAAATTAACTGCTTGCAGATTGAAATACATATTATGTACAGTTTTTTTTTCCCATCAGAACCAACTGACTTTAATTATGACCAAAACTCTTTTATTGTTGTGCAGGGCAAGGCTTTGCTTTATGGAGAAAACAAAAAGTTCAGTTAGAATATAAAAAGCTGCAAAGAAAGCAAAAAAAGACCACAACTCCAAAAGATTTGTATGCGGACAATTACCCTGAACATTTAAAACATCTCTACCTGGCTGAAGAAGAAAGACTGCAAAATCTAGAAAGAAAGAGGAAGCCTGAGGAGGACACCACTCAGACAACTGAGGAACAAAGAAAAAGAAGAAAAAGAAGAAGAAGAAGTAGTAGTGTACGTTTACTGGTGTATTAAACTGTGATGTATTTTACCTTTACACTATGACATTTTTAAGGGACAGTTAACACATACATGGATTTTAAACACGTCCAGTCCAGGACCAGTTCTAGCATTTCTTTCCTACTATTTTTATTTTTTAGCAGAGACCCTAGAGAATAAAATAGTGGGCATTTAATATTTCTATGTGACACAATAGTTGCGCAAATTGTTTGGAAAAAATATGCTTTAATGGATTTTATTGCAGAAAAACACAATATAATACCCAAATTGTTTAGTAGCATATAAAAGATCATGTTACGCCGAGTAAATAGATACCAAACATGTCATGCTTTAAAATTGTACAAGTTATCAGTTTAGAGTTACACAATCTGATGCTAAACTTAATGCTCCTCGCTCTGACTCTCGCGGTGATACCTCATATATGTGGTGTGATCACCCTTTTACATATGTGTGGGACCTACATGCGCTTTTGTGTGAGCACAGGGGAACTGGGGTGCTTTAAATTAATTTTATAATTTTTTTTTTCATGTGTATATATTTTTAACACTGTAACTTTTAACTCTTTATTTTCATCTTTATTGCTATTACAAAGGATGAACAACATCCCTTGTAATCGCATGAGCTGTGACAGGACCTCTTTATGGAAATATTTGGGATCTATTAGACCTCAAATATCTCCAGTGTAGCCGATCAGAAACAGATTGGTCTGATCGGCTGCTTCCCTGACTTGTAATGGCCAGGTAAACTAACGACCAAAGCAGGAAGTGACACAATCCTCACTTCCTGTTTCTGATGTCGTACAGTGGGAAGAATGACATCCGTCCTTCTCACTCTGTGCCTAGAGCTGGATACCGCTGGTCGCATCTTTGCTGGGCTCTCCGATCACACAAGAAAGCCTGGTAAAAGCAGCGGGAGTGGGATGGGACTCCCTTCCGCCACCTGTAAAAGTAACCCAGCAGCTCGTTAGCTGCTCAGATTACTTTTACTTTGTAGGAAATAGCTAAAAGATATCACCATTCCCATCCGATGACCTTTATAAACGTACTGCAGATGGAAGCGCTTAAAGATGCATTACAGTTGAACTCCAGGTTGAAGAAAACATAACCCTTTCAGAGGGGTGTCTTCTACACTGCAAGGGTAAAATACTTTATTTTTTTTTCTTGTGGGAAATGATGAATAAGGATAATTATCGACTTTCAATGACATTGATAGAAGTGATTGGGCAGCAGGGAGAAGCAGCTTCAGGGGTTGGGCTGCCACCCTCCCAAAGTGAAATTTACTGACAGAGCCTTTTTTTTTTTCCTGACACGATACAAAAAATGTATTGACAGAACCAATTTTCTTTTTTTCTGACCATTAAAAAAGTTAGCCAAAATTTCTTTTTTGTGCAAATATCAATTATAAAGCTACAGACATGTAGTTGGTGTGATTTGCAATGTTCTTAAGTTATACCAAAGTTTTTCACCAATATTTTTCCTTTTACGTGAAAGTTAGGTTACTATAACCCAGCACAGAGTTTTTAGATCAGAGTCTGCAGGATTCCCCTTTACAGTGTTGGATGCCTCTGACTCTGATGTTAAGGAAAACTGATGTAAGGAGGTCTCTCTAGTCACAAGATTCCCCTCCCCCCTCCTTACACAAGAGTTCCTACTTACAGTGCAAGGGAGTACTCTGCTGACCTTGATGTAAAGAGGAGCACTGCTTACAATAATCCACAGGGTCCCCCCTCCCCCTACATCAACGTCCACAGGGTCCCCCCTCCCCCTTAGAATAAAGGTGAATAAAGCACCTGGACCGGATGGCATACACCCACAGGTCCTTAAAAAATTGAGCTCTGTCATTTCAAAGCCATTATTTCTATGTTGTGTCAATATTTAAAAAGGGGTCAAAATCTTTACCAAGTAATTATAGACCTGTTAGTTTAACTTATATAGTTGGAAAGATACTGGAGAGTTTAATAAAAGACCACATAGATGAGTTCTTATTTTAAGCAACAGACAGCATGGATTCATGTGTAAGGTAAAGTCTGCAGGCTTGGAAAAATCCATATGTAAATAGATAGAAAACTGGCTAAAAGATCGTATTCAGAGAGTAGTGGTTAATGATTCATACTCTGAATGGTCTAGGGTTGTCAGTGGTGTACCTCAAGGTTCAGTGTTGGGACCCTTACTTTTTAATATATTTATAAACTATATAGGGTGTGCGATTAAAAATCCCATTTCAGTCTTTGCAGATGACACCAAGCTTTGCAGTGGAATAACATCCTTACAGGATGTCTCCAATTTACAAGCCAACCTCAATGCACTGTTTAGTTGGGCAACTATGTGGCAAATGAAGTTTAATGTTGATAAATGTAAAGTTATACACTTGGGGGCTAAGAATATTCATGCATCATACATACTAGGGGGGGTAACAACTGGGGGAATCAATGGTGGAGAAGGATCTGGGGGTTCTGGTAGATCACAAGCTTAATAATGGCATGCAATGCCAAGCTGTGGTTTCTAAAGCGAGCAAAATCCTCTCTTGTATTAAAAGAGGTATAGACTCCAGAGAGAGAGATATCATTTTATCCCTGTACAAATCATTAGTAACACCTCATCTGAAATATGCAGTTCAATTTTGGGCACCAGTTCACAAAAAGAACATCGGGGAACTGGAGAAAGTACAGAGAAGGGCAACCAAACTGATAAGTGGCATTGAAGAGCTCAGCTGTGAGGAAAGATTAGAGGAACTGAATGTATTCTCTTGAAAAGAGGAGATTAAGGGGGATATGATCAACATGTATAAATACATCAGTGGTTCATATAGTGAACTCGGTGTAGAGTTATTCACCCTTGGGTCATCACAGAGGACAAGTGGGCACTCTTTACGTCTGGAGAAAAAGAAATGTAATCTGCAAACACGGAAAGGTTTCTTCACAGTGAGAGCTGTGACATGTGGAATAGACTCCCCAAGAGTTGGTTCTGGCCAGCTCAGTGAATTGCTTTAAAGGCTGGGATTCTTTCTTAGATACACAGAATATAATTGGATACTAACATGTATAGGTAAGGTTGATCCAGGGAATATCCGATTGCCTCTCAGGGGGATCAGGAAGGAATTTTTTCCCCTGCAACAGCAAATTGGATCATGCTTTGCTGGGTTTTTGTGCCTTCCTCTGGAATAACTGTGTGTGTGTGTGTGTAGGATTATAACTTTTTTTTTTTTTTTATGATTGAACTGGATGGACTTTTTTTTTTCTTTTTTTTTCAGCCAGACTAACTATGTAACTATCTTTCCTTCTATATACTACTAGTTTCTCCATCCCCCATGTAATGGGGATTAACAAAGGCAGACATATTTGTAGTTCAACCTGGGTGGCAACCATAGCTTCCTCCATAAATATAGCACATTGAGTGGGTGGTATCACCTTAGCACAGGAAGTGTGTTAGTGGGAGGATTACCAAGGGAATATAAAGGGAAAAAGCCTGAAAAATTAATGAAGCCACCTATCTAAAGACTGATAATCTGCAAAATATTACATTTAGATGCACTTTAAAATAATAACTACCAACTTGAAACTGCTTTTTTGGTTAGATAATTTCAGTAGAACTTCTTATTTTCCATGTGTAGGCCAAAAAAGAAATTTAAGAAGAAAACATCGAATCAGAAAGCAAAAGAAGAATATGAACAAGTTCAACGTGAACGAGCAAAAAAAAGAAAAGTAAGGACTCCACCTTAACCCATTATCCTAGCTTGATAGTAAATGTCTTTTTGGAGGGTGCTTGCTCAACCCATAGTTTCAACAAAAGCTGAAATCCATCATCTGCTTTTGTTTCTTGCTAGATATTATGAGCCATGGTTCTATTAGCTTAAAGAGATTCTACCAGTCTAGAAATATGGGAAATGTCAATATAACATGATTTTTAAATGACGTATACAAATGAATAATTGTGCTATACCTTATAGGAACTGCCACTATATATGCATACACCATTTATTATCCTTAGAATGTAGGCACTCCCATTGCTCCCATCACCTCATTAAGGATAGTGTTGATGCTGCTGCACTGCAGTTCAAAATGCAGTCACAATGCTAACGTCCACTTCTGTAGTCCCAGGTCCTCCAGACACTGTAACCACACTGCAATAGCTTGCTCACACATCTTCACACTTCATCAGAAGTGCTATGCAAGCCTCATTTTGGTTTCTCTAGAACAGTTTGTCCATGTTAGGGCACTTTATATAACATGAAGTGTGCTCTTACATGTCAAGTAGTTACTAAACTGACTGTTGCTGAAGTGCAGGCCCATGCATGTTAATCTCCAATTATTTCTGTGTGAGCAGACAGGTTCTTTAGCCACTTGCAGGCTGCTTGCCCGCAATGTAAATAGAGGGGCGGCCCGTACAGGCACAGTGACATACATGTACATCGCTGGCCTCTTCTGTGTACAGGGTGAACATGCGCAGGAGTTTGTCATTAGGTCCCAGCCAGTGATTCAAGGCTCTGTACAGAAGGAATGATCTTTGTTTCTTCTCCCTGCAAAGCAGAGCAATACAAAGCAGCATGCTTACATAGTAAAGAACACAGTTAACCCTTTGATTGCCCCAGATGTTAACCACTTTCTGCCCAGTGTCAGTGCTTTTTATTAGCACTGATCATTGCATTAGTGTCACTGGGGATGTCAGTGGCAGTTGGTCAACCCCCCCCCCCCCCCCCCCCCCCCCCCGTGTCAGAATGCCCAACGCAGTCCCGCTGATCGCTGCTATTATTGTAGTATTAAAAAAAAAATTCCCATAAATATACCACCATTTGTTTCATGTAAACCAATTAATTTGCACGTATTGGGACATTTTTTAGCAAAGACATGTAGCAGAATACATTTTGGCCTTAATTTTTGCCGAAATTTATTTTTTTTTTATTTAAATTTTTTTACTGCATATGTTTTTATAGCAATAAGTCAAAAATACTGTTTTTTGTTTTCAAAAATTGTTGGTCATTTTTGTTTATAGCTCAAAAAATTAAAAACCACAGAGGCGATCAAATACCATCGAAAGAAAACTCTATTTGTGAGCAAAAAAAAGGACATACATTACATTTGCATACAGTGTTGCATGACCGCGCAATTGTCAGTTTAAGTAATGCAGTGCCGTATCGCAGAAAATGGCCTGGTCAGGAAGGGGGGAAATCGCCTGGGCAAGTGGTTAACAAAGTCATGTAGCAGAATACATTTTGGCTTAAATTTAAAGAAGTTTAATTTTTTTTTTTTCATTTTTGTTTTTGGATATGTTTTTACAGCAGAAAGTAAAAAGTATTTTTTTTTTTTTCCCCAAATTTATCGATCCTTTTTCATTTTATGTAGTAACAAATAGAAAAACCCAATGGTAATCAAATACCACCAAAAGAAATCTCTATTTGTGTGAAAAAAATTATATAAATTTTGTTTGGGTACAACGTTGCATGGCCGCACAAATACTAGTTAAAGTGATAAATAGCAAAAAATGGCCTGGTCATGAAAGGGGTAAAACCCTTTTGGTGCTGAAGTGGTTAAACCATATGTATGTATAGAAGGATTTAGGTTTTGTGATCTAGACCATTGTGATTTGATTTACTGGTATAAACTCTCTCCTGTAATATAGGAATGTAGTATGCTCTTTGCAGGTTTGTTTGTTTCTTGCACATATTGCATTCTTAGTGGGTAACCACATGATTAAACCACCTGCCCCCTTATTTCTCACCCATTGTTTGTTCCAATGCTCCAGGTACTGCCAAATATAAGCAAGGCTAAAAATGGCTTTATTAAGATTTTTAAATCTTTGGTGAATATTTCTCCTCCATTTCAGATGTTTTCAATATGTGTTTTCTCTAATGATAATATTCTATATAACAAATATGATTCACATTTTTAGGTAGCAGAGGAAAACCAGAGAAAAAGAGAGGAAGCAAAAGAACTCTACAAGAAAAAGAAGATGGAAGCTTATAAGGTTTTGAGCACAAAAACAAAGAAAGGACAGCCCAACTTTAATGTACAAATGGAGTATCTACTTCAAAAGATACAAAGTAAAACATAGTTTCATTAATGTGCATTTTATACTAGTGCATCATGAAAGGTGCGTTAATGAAATACATCCTTTCTTTGGAGAGGTTTTCTACAAAAATAAGTATTATTTTTAATGACTTTTATGAATTCCTAAGTTAAAAACTACTGACATCATATTTAACAATGTTTGTTAATTGTTTCAGCAAATAAAAACAATTGTCTGTGTTGAAAGGATCGCTAAGCCCTGTGGGTTTGGTATTTGTAGGTACTAATAGTCAAAATCTTGAAAAGAGTATTGTGGGGTGACTTTCTAAAAGAAGAGAGCTAAATGCAAAGGAATGATTCTCTTTTTGAATTTTGTGACCCTCACTGTAAATGCCATCTTCAAGCAGAACAAGATGGGACCATTACATTCTTTCTACTAGATGGTTTTCTTATGTTTTACTTTAAATGGCACATTCTTTTTTTATCTCTTATGATTTCTGATAAAATAAAGGGGAGCTTTAGGCAGTTATAAAAGACACAAAATAAAGCAGTTCTGTAATCATCGGGACATCATTAACCACTTGCCATTTGCCCTATAGCAGAAGTACTCCTACAGGGCAGCACGGCTGCGCAAAATCGTGTGTGTTGCATTTTTGGGTAAGGGGGCACGTGCGCTATTGGCTGGAGATGTCAGCAAAGCTGATAGGGAAGAGACCTTTGTGTAAACAACACGGGTCTCTCTCCTGTAGGCACAGCAGAGAGATACAAAGCAACATGTCTCCCAAGAAGATTTGTGTTTTTTTTTTACATTCTTTTATTGCATATGTTTTTATAGCAAAAAGTCAAAAATATTGTGTTTTTTTTGTTTTGTTTTTTTTCTCAAAATCGTTGGTCTTTTATTGTTTATAGCGCACAAAATAAAAAACCACCGAGGTAATCAAATACCACCAAAAGAAAGCTCTATTTGTAATAAAAAAGGACATAAATTTAATTTATGTACAATGTTGCAACATTGCATGACCGTGCAATTGTAAGTTAAAGTAACGCAGCACCGCATTGCAAAAAATGGCCTGGTCAGGAAGGAGGGAGGGGGGGGGGGGGTAAATCCTACGGAGGTCAAGTGGTTAAATGTAAGCAGTGTCAGTACCTGAATTTGGTATTGGCCTCTTGCTGACTGACAGATGTATGAGAGGAGATGGAGCGATGAGCCCATCACTATGTTGCTTCTCCTTTCACTCTTCAGTCAAACTGGAGAGGGTCCAGACAACCTGGGCTCAAAGGAAGTGTGTTTAGATGATGCTGACCCATCAAACGGAGGACATCTAAATGCAAAAGAAAATACTGTGGTGAAAATTTCTGAACTGAAATCGAGCTTACCACTTTCAAGTAGCAAATTGCGGATAGAAAGGCCAACCACCTTTATATGGATGTGTGTACTAATTTTAAATTTTAGAGCAATATGGTCAGCATAGCTGACAGTCAACTATTGTTTTTAGAAGGACAAAGCTGCATTAAGTATCTTAAAATATTTAAATGCATGGTAACAAATACTATCACTTTTTATTTACACTTTAAATATTTAAATTTAAAATTTAATATATTTAAATATTTGCACTTGACTGCAAAGACCCTTTATGGATAAACGTAAGTAGGTTAATCTAAATTAACCACTTTAAGACCAGCCACTGCAAAAAAACGTTTGCAGGGCGGCACGGCTGCGCAAAAGCACGTTTTAAAACATGTTATTGCAAAACAGGTAGATACAAAAAAAAAAAAGAACATAGTATATATACCCAACAAGGACCAGCGAAGTACTGGTACATCACTGGACTTTGAATGGTTATACCAGGATGATGCCTACAGCTGCAGGCATCATCCTGGTATTGTTTCTTTCAGCCGGTGATCGGCTTTCATGTAAGTGCAATCCTAGTGGCTAATTAGCTGCAGGATTGCTTTTACAAGCAGTGGGAGGTGATGCCCCCCCCCTCCCCCGCTGCCTTCCACGGCCTTCTCAGGCAGTCTTGTGCCATCGGGGGAACCTGAGAATGCAGCCGGAGTTTCTGCCAGCTGACCATAGAGCTGATTGGAGACCAGAATGGTGCCAATCATCTCTACAGCCTAAGAATTCGGAAGCTACGAGCATTTCCTCACTTCAGTTTCGCAGGATATAAACCGCACCATTTGTAAATTGGGAAAGCATCTGATCACAACGATTTTGGTTTGATTAGATAATGTAAGGGCAGAGGAGATATCTAGAGTCTGATAGACCCCAGATTTCTCAAAAAAGAATATATGACAATGCCCATTGAAGTTATCGGGGATATTTGCATTCCCTGTTATAGCATTAGAGGTGATCAAAGCAAAAAAAAAAACGAAAGGTACAAATGTAAAAATAATAAAAAAGAATCAAAATAACTAAAAAAAAAAAATCGCCCCTCCCATGCGCGCACACCTGTGTGCACAAGCCTTGACCCTGTGCCGGTATGTAAACAGCGGTTGCACCATGCATGTGAGGTATTGCCATGAACGTCAGATCAAGGGCAGTAATTCTAACACTAGACCTCCTCTGTAAATCTAAAATGGTAGCTTTTAAAGCGTTGCCTATGGATATTAAAAATGTTTGCAGATTGTCGCCATTGCATGGGGCATGCGCAGTTTTTAAAGCATGTCATGTTTGGTATCTATTTACTCGGCATACCATTATCTTTTATATTTTACGAAATCATTGACCAATATATTGTGTTTTTGTGCATTAAAAGTAAAAAAAAGTGTTTTTGTTTTTTTTAAATTTGCTTTTGAAAAATCGCTGCACGAGTACTATGTGCCATAAAAAATTGTAGTACCCACCATTGTATTCACTAGGGTGTCTGCTTTAAAAAAATATATAATATTTGGGGGTTTTAATTAATTTCCTAGCAAAAAAATACTGACTTGTTTTATGTGAACAAAAAGTGTCAGAAAAGGCTTGATCTTCAGGTGGTTAGAAGAGCTATAGCACCAAAAATAAAAAGTGCACAGGTGCTCAAATACCACCAAAAGAAAGCTCTATTTGTGTTAAAAAAAGGACATAAATTTAATTTATGTACCGTATTGCATGACCGCGCAATTGTCCTGTAAACTAGCGCAGCGCTGTATAGCAAAAAAATGGCGTAAATTGCAGTATCTATACCATAGTTTGTAGACGCTATAACTTTCACACAAAGCAATCAATATACACTTATTGGGATTTTTTTTTTTACCAAAAACATGTAGCAGAATACATTTTAGCCTAAATTTATAACTAACTTTGGGTTTATTATATATTTTTTTATAGCTGAAAGTAAAAAATATCATTTTTGTACAAAATTTTTTGTCTTTTCTTGTTTATAGCATGAAAAATAAAAAGCGCACAGGTGATCAAATACCACCGAAAGAAAGCTCTATTTGTGTGAAACAAAAGGATGTTAATTTTGTTTGGGTGCAGCATTGCATGACCGCGCAATTATCAGTTGAATTAGTGCAGCGCCGAGTAGCAAAAAGTGGCCCAGTCATTAAGGGGGGTAAATCCTCAGGAGCTCAAGTAGTTAATATAGTCCAAATGGCAGCTTATGTGAGCTATGGAAGAAGCAAGTCTATACCTCCTGTAAAGCAGCACAATATCACACGAAGACAAGAAATCAAGCCATGTGCTAGGAATGAGCACATTGGTAAAGGTGACATGTAAAAATTGATTATCATAGTATTTGCCTGACACTTGGGGTTGAGCACTCATGCACGTTTGCACGGTTTTTTAATTTTTTTCTTTTAAAGGGCTGGTTCACACCAGAATGGGGTGGGGGAAGGGTGCATTCTGTGTGCGTTTCCCACACTGCATTCCAATGCATTACCCTTGTGTTCTGCATGCGGTTGCCAATGTAATGTTAATGACATCCCAAATGCAGATCGCAAGTGCAGTACATTTGCAGGCTCCAAATCTCATGGTTCCACAGTACCAAGCAATTTGTGCAGCATGATTTTGAAAAGTTGTGCATGCTCTACTTTTTCATGTTCCGGTGTGATTTCAGCTTATCCAAATGAATGGGCTGCAAAATCACACCACAGGGGAATGTTCAGAAATTGCAATTCCAATTTATTTTCTAGACCCAATTGGAGAAAAGACAAAATCCTACCAATCACATAGTTCTATGGATGCCATTTCCGGACCTCATGCAAGGAAATATAAGCCTTCCAAGTTCTGAAATAAATGTTTCTAGAAACTAGCTATCTAGCATTCAGCATCGGGTGGATGATGACTGAATCTGAAACTCCCGTTTCAGGATTTGGGCCTCAATAGCCATACCTTCAAATTTATAGACCGTAAAGCTGGGTGCAATATTGGTCCCTGAGACAGCAGGTCTAGCCGGTACAGCAGAGGCCATGGACTCTCCACTGCTAGTTTCACTATGTCCATGTACCAAGCCCCCCTGGGCCAAGGCCATCAAGATCACTGGAATGAACTCTTCTTGAATCCTGCTCAAGCGGCGCGGCAGTGGCTGAATCTGGGGAAAAGCGTGAATTAGGGAAAACCTGTCCCAAGGTATTACCAAGGCATTTACCCCTATTGTGAGAGGGTCCTGCATCCTGGACACAAACCTGTCCAACTTGCTGTTGAACCTGGATGCCAAGACCTCTATGTCTTGGCATCCCTACACTGGCAGATTGCCACAAAAACTTTGGGATGAGAGGCCCATTCTATTGTTACTGTCAGTTGTCTACATGTGGAATGTATACTGCTGCCAGTGGTGGAACATACCCTCCTGCTCAATCCAGAATGTGGTTCAATTCCTCCTGAGCTCTCCTTCTCCTGGTACTGCCTTGGTGGTTAATTTATGCCACCATTGTGGCATTGTCGGACTGAAACCTGACCAGCCAACCATGAAGCCTGGTTATTCAACACCTCAGGGCAACCCATACCACCCAAAACTCTAGGATATTCATGGGTAGAACTCTTTTTGTGGAAACCATGTCCCCTGGACTGTGACTCCCTCCAGAGCAACACCCAAACCTGAGAGAATGGCATAGGTGGTT